AAAATTCAGAAACACTGACATTCTGAAACTGCACAACCCCTGCACTTTATGCACTCTCAATACATTAAACAATTAAGCATTTATTAGTCATACTATTACAAAATCAAAAAAGTTCTAATTTTTGATGGCAAATTCTCTAATTTCATAGATTTTTCAACACAAAACATGAAAATTCAGAAAATTCTCTGCAACTGGAATCCCTTTGAAAATTCAAAGGTTGGTGAAAGAGAAAATTTCCCCTAGTTTAAATATGTAATGGGGTTAGATGTGCAGAGCAGTTTTAAAATTTGTCATTCTTAAAAAAATATAGCTAATTGCAGAATTGAGCAAGAAACAAGAATTTTTTCAGATTTTGTAATCAAGAGACTAATCAGCATGGTTCATTCTTTCATGTATTGACAGTGCATAATGCGCACAGTTATTAAAATAAGCCCAGTTATAAAAGAGCACATTGTTAAAAGAAGCACAATTATCAGACCAACAATAACAAAATTTACAAAGTTCTAGTTTTTTGCTTATACATTTTTAATTTACTAGATTTTTCAACAAAAAGCACAAAATTCAGAAGAAATCTCTGCACCTCTAATTACTTTAAATATTCAAAGTTTGGTAAAGAAGGAAATTTTTTATAAATTTTCAGATCTGAAAACATGTTGTTTTGGAAGAATTCATTTAGAAAAGGTTTTACATTCTCATTTTCACCTTTGTCTACTTGGATTATCTTATGGTTCAAAAAATGGGAAGTGCAGAGAACTTCATGATGCTTTCAATGTAGTTGAAAATTTGCATTTCAGTGCATAATTACATTTTTGGCAAATTTTAAAAGATGAAAAATTGCGAAGAAAAACTGAAACAAGAATTCAGACTTTTTAGTCTAGCCCATTCTAATTTATTTGCTTTTGATGAAACTTGAAAATTATTTAAAGGGTGTCATGCACAGTGACATTTTACAAGCATCTTTCTTTTTGTTGAAAAATGTTACAAATTGAAACAGCTAAAATTCAAAAAAGTAAAAACATTTTTGGTGATTTTTGTACAATTTTCAGAAATGTTTTCACATGTTTGGTTGTAATTCTGTCAAATGTTCAGATTTTGCATGTTTAAGAAAGGAAATTTAGAAAACATCTTTGTGCATGCAAAGGTGTAGAGTGTGGACAATTTTAAAATTGGTTGAAAATTGAATTTTTAACAATTTTTCAGTCAGCAAAATGGACCACAGACCATAAGCCAGTTTACAGTCCATAAGCAGGTGCAACTTCCCTAAAACAGAGCCAGTCCATAAACTGAAAATTTGTTACCCAGAATGTCCATAAACCGGGGTTTGACTGTATATTGTCTGATTGCAGTTTTTCATGTAGGTGTATATAGGGGCGCCAAGTGAGGGTTTGCACACGGGCGCCATGCAGGCTTGGGCCGGCCCTGACTCTCTCTACAATAAAATGGAATAAGGGACCAGAAAAATTCAATATATATATAGAGAATTTAATTGAAGAGAAGCCTTTTAGCATGGGTAGAATAATAACCATATGGGACCAAAGTAAAATTCGTTATACTGTACAGAGAAAATTGTTGCATACAATATTGTCATATAGAGAGAGAGTATATCTGTTATATAAATACTTCTATATGCATTTGACATTCTTTACTCAGTAACCCCCTCTTACAACAAATAAGCAATTATAGAAATGGAGTTGTACAATTTTTTTGAAATTTCAATTGCATTGAGTTTTAAATATGAGGGTTTTCCCAGTTGGATGCAACCTCTGATGTTTTCAGAGTAGGTGTGTTCACACACAAAAATTATTGACATTGAATCCCATTATGAGCCTATTTTGTCATGTTCTAACCATTGTATCTAAAATTTAGAAAAGCTACTGGTTAAAGCAACAACAAATTTAAACTTTGTTTGATAGACTGATAAATTTGGACACTGTGACATATGGGGAAAATCTGTCTGTAATTGGAAAGTTTTCATCTATTATAAATTCGTTACACAGTAAATTAAAAACCTTAATTAAAAAGCCAAACCAATTTCTTAAAATCACAGATACTGTAAACTTTTTAAAGGTTGCGTTTAACTAGGACAAACCACATAACAGTGTGATCTACACATGAGGCCATTATTATTTCTTAAAATAAAATTTGACAAAGAGATTGTAGATCTTTAGCTGTGTTACTGTATACAGTAGAATTCTCTTTAAAGGAAAGCCATTACTTAATTCGAAAATACAGGAGGACTCGTCTCTCTACAATGATATTTTCCACACTGATTTTCTCTTTACAGCATATAAGTTTTTTATTTATTTCCGTGGCTTCTTTCCCCATGATAAAGGTCTTCTTTACAATGAAAGTCTCGCTATAATAATTTTTCCAGTCCTTTGAATATGTCGTAGAATTGCTATCTGGAACATTTTCTTCCAGTTCCTCAAATTTTGTGTGTAAAGAGTCCACCTGTAATAAAATTTATTTTGGAATTGCAAGTGGATATTGAGTTGTTCACCCACAAAATTGTTGACATTAAATCCCATTATGAGCGAATTTTTTATGTTTTAACCATTTTATCTAAAAGTTAGAAAAGCTACTGGTTAAAACAACAACAAATTTAAACTTTGTTTCCAGCCTGATAAATTTAGACACACTGTGACATATGTGAATGTCAATAATTATTTTGTGTGAATGTCAATAACAACAATGTGACTAGATGCATATGTGCATTAACAACTGATGTCCTTTTACAAAAATCGCTTGAGGATTTACATTCCTGTGAGCTTTGATTTTAAACCTTTCTGAAATCTAAGCATCATTGTACCTGGGAAATGTTTGCATGGGAAACAATAATATCTCAAAAGTTCACAGCTAGACATTATGCTATGTGTATGTTTTTTTTATTATATCCCTAATTAAGTAACTCATCTCCGATGCTCATATAGGTCGTTAATGAAATGGAAGCTGGGGACAGATTCAGTGGAGTGAGCATGTGGCCAGGAATGAACTTTGGATACGGAGAAAATTACCAGAAATCAACTCATGCTCTGCCATTTAACCCTGATATA